AAGTCATTGTCAGGTTGCTCCAATCTTTCAAAGCAAAGTGACAAATTCACCATTCACCGACACCTTTGCAAGTCCTTCTGATCAATAGTTAGTTTAATTGTGTTTTCAGCCATAACTTCAAGGATATTGTGTTTAATCTTGTTAGTATTTTAGCCAGAGTACAAAGAAATGCTTTAGGGAAGAATTTTCTTGATCAAGGCTACCTTTTCTGTGGGTATCCCTCTAGCTACGTGTGCATGCACAATTTCTTAATTTCGTGTGGTGATTATTGCAAGTCCCAAAGTTCAGTTTGCTTGAGGACAAGCCAAGGCTTAAGTGTGAGGAAATTGATAAATTCGTATTTCAACATGCATTTGATGCGTGTTGAGATTGAGTTTTGTCAATTTTCCTAATTTATTTGCTTCACAAAGTGTTTATTTAGCTCAAGTCAAGGTTTACCGGGTTTGGTTTGCATTTGTTGAGAAAATCGGGAATTTGGACCCGACATCGGCGTTTGAGCTAAAGTTGAGAAGATTCGGGATATGTTCGAGAGCTAGCAAGAGACATCGGAGGTCCACGAGATGATTTAAAGGCATGAATTGAGAGTTGGAAGGTTGAAGATTGAAGATACCAAGAAAACGGTTCTAGAGCAGTCCGTGCGCCCCGCGGGTGATTCTGAGAGCAAGAAGTAAAAGGGTCTGAACCGCATACCGCGCGGCCGGAACCGCACACCGCACGGTCTAGAAATAGCCCCCAGGAGTGCCCACACGGTTGCATAGTGCGGTCGCCCACACACCGTGAAAGCGGAGTAAAAGTCAGAGACGGAAAAAACGCGTGCGGGCACGGCGTGCGGTCAACCGTGCGGTCTGAGTTTTGGCCTGTTTTTGGATTTTTCTATAAACAGGCCATTGTTTTGCTTGTTTTTGACTTATGAGCGTAGAGAGATAAAACCTATTTCAACTTTTGAGATCTTTTCAAGCCCTGTTGTTTAAGATTAATGGATTTTGTGTAAGTTCTATCTTTTTAATTAATGACAATTAATTCTTTTCATCTCAATTCTGTTGATTCTTCAATTTTGAATTGTGAGTAGTTTTAATTAGGGATTTGGGGTTGATGAAGGGGTTAATCATGATGTATGGCTAGTTTCTTGATGGATTAATTGCATGAATGTCCTTTAAATTGTGTTTGAATAATTTAACTGATATCTCTTGTAACCTAGAACGCCCGCTAGAATTACAATTGCTTGTAGAATAAATTAAGAGAAATCTAGTTTATTGTAGGACATATTCAAACACAATTAATCGTTCCCTAAGAGATTAGTAGCGATTAAGGGGCCGTAAGCTTGCTCATCTTGGCAATAATTTAGGATCATGTCGCATGAGAGATCAACCTGGTCCCCTAAATTATTGTACTCTACGCCGCGAGAGCGGTAAGAATTTAGTAATGATTAGCTAGGCTCAATCAAATTAATTTCATGTAATTGAGTCTGATATGCCAGAAATCTGGTTAACTCGGAATCAATCTCTATTCCTTAATTAAAAAGAACCAATTTATTTTATTCGTCAGTTTGCATTTTAATTTTCCAAACCAACCAATCTCGCACATCGTATTTATTTTTATTCATTTAATTTTCATTGCTGAATTGAGTTAATTCTTATTTCCCTTCACTAGCGGAGGGAGGGGAGGGCCATACTGGGCCCTGGCCCAGGGTAGATTGGGCTAATGATAGTAAGAGTATATAAAAAATAATGAAATAATAGAAAGACCCAGTGGTAAAAGAAAATTGGCCCTGTGGCCTTTGCAAGCTTGCTGCCTCATCCGTGATATGAAAACGTAGACACTCAACCTAGAGTGTGCCCTACTGTCCAGTGCTCGTGCAAAAGAAAGAAAGGTAGATAAAAATCATAACAAAATTTATAAAATTGACACTTGGTAAAGCAAATAAACGCCGACCAAAATGTTCAAACTTAACACTTAGGTCTTAGGCCTTAGTCAAGTGACCAACGCTAACCATTGCTCCATGAATTAAGGTTAGTTTTATGACCCTAATTTCCCTTCACTGGCGGAGGGAGGGGAGGGCCATACTGGGCCCTGGCCCAGGGTAGATTGGGCTAATGATAGTTAGAGTATATAAAAAATAATGAAATAATAGAAAGTGTAAGGAATAAATGTAATTAGATTTTGATGATGTTAGGATAATTAGATTAGAATTTTTAAGTACCCCAACTAGATTTTATGTATTAGAATTTTCAGTTGTAAGTATTAGTGTAGTCGACGATCAGAGTTGCTCTCTTATGGATCTGATCAGAGCTGCTCTATGAGAACTGCTTTCAGAGTTGCTCTCGCGAAGTCATGAGAGTTGCTCATCAGAGAATCATCAGAGTTCGATGTTAAACTTCATCAGAACCCAACTGCAGCAGGACTGCTCAACATGAAAGCATCAGAGTTCCGATACCAGAGCTCGACTCCAAGCTTTATCAGAACCACTTATCAGAAAACAATCAGAATCCAACATATCAGAAGAGCCCGATCAGAGTCCGACTGACACTTAGAAGAATTTCAAGATAACTTCCAACGGCTGTGAAACTAACGGCTAGAAGATTGTGCATAAAAGGAAAGCTCTTAAATGCACAATAAATGAGCCTGATACACCGTGGATTGATTGCAAATGATTGACCGAGAAATCTGGAAGATATATTATAAAAATAGAAAGCTTCCAAATCAGTAGGTCAAGTCAACAGTACGCGCATTTAATGCAGTTGTCTCCTCCTCCAACGGGTAGACAACCCCAGTATATAAGCTACACACTGAAGAACAGGAAGATAGCTTTGCACACTTCAGCATTCAAAAAGCTCTCTTGAGATTCAAACTCTTCAATCATCAACAAGACTAGCTTACGTTAGGAAGATTAAAATATCCAAATCTTCAAACCCCAACGCATAGCAAAGTTCATCCTATTCTTCAACCTTCAAGTACTTCAACTACATATCTCTTGTAACGAAGCAAGTTGGAGAAAACTCTGTTTTCAAAATAACTTCTGCAAAGAAGGGCGTCCAAGTAACTGCAGTAGTGAAGTGGTGATACTTCCGGGAAGCTGAGCGAAAGGACCAGCCATCAGGACGTGGAACTGCATCCTGGGTGGCATCTAGGCTTGAAGAAGGCGTGGAGAACTTCTTAAGTGCTAGGGACTAAGGCGTTGTAATTGATCTTTACAAGCTTAGTGGAACAGTGGACTAGAGGAACGCGTTGTTCCTTGAACCACTATAAAAACTCCTGTGTCATTTACTTTACGCATTTATTTTCTGCACTTTAGTTTGTAACTGCATAACTCTCTAGAACTTGGACTCTGTGTTCAGCAGATCGTGTTCTCAGAGTTATCAGAAAGGCACTTGCCTTTGTATTTGGCTGAGGCTACCCGGAATTCTTATCCGCTGCAAGACCAGTTCTGATCATCAGAACTCGACCATCTCTGACAAGTCAACTCTGACTTAGAGAAAAGTTGAAAAACTTGAATCAGTCTATTCACCCCCCCCCCCCCCTCTAGACTGATTACCAACTCAAACGGGACCAACAGAAAGGCCCAGTGGTAAAAGAAAATTGGAAATCTACCTTTCTTGACTTTGCACGGGCACTGGACAATAGGGCACACTCTAGGTTGAGTGTCTACGTTTTCATATCACGGATGAGGCAGCAAGCTTGCAAAGGCCACAGGGCCAATTTTCTTTTACCACTGGGCCTTTTTCTATTATTTCATTATTTTTTTATATACTCTAACTATCATTAGCCCAATCTACCCTGGGCCAGGGCCCAGTATGACCCTAACAAAAGTCCATATTTAATCTATTTTTTCGAAATTTGTAACAACCAACTTAACCAATGATATTTTTTAATACGAGATCATCTATAATTGTATACAGATATATTGATCAAAATTATTATCCAAAGTTTTGTCGATCAAGAAATTTCAATATGCTGAACTTTTTTCGGGCGGAGATAGTATATTATACTCCGTGTGTGATTTGTTTATATTTGTTGAATACAAACGTGTTCTTGTCTTACTAAATTGTTATTTCATTTAATTTCAATTCAATAATTTGTATTGAGTTTAATAACATATTTTAATTTAATAGAAGAGATTATGGGCACTTACAACCTCATTTAAAGAAAATTAAAGAAACTTTGTATTCTTTCTGGTCCTAAAATAACTTTACATTCTTTTTTAAACCGGCTACTATTGTTAGTAGTCTATAAAGTGACTAACGAGCACCAAACGTACCACAATATTTGTAATGCTGAAAATTAGTCATCTTTTACTTTGGTTGAGATTGAAAGAGATCAGATCTCGTGAAAAAAATGATCGGCCTTAGACGGAAGGAATGAAGTGAGGTGAAAACCTTAAATATCCTGCGCGTCCTTATCAACCAAAATTTCAATTGTATAAAAATTGAGAATATAAATATAAATTTTGTGATTTTTAATCGAGGTTGTTTAAGTGGTTGGCAGGTACTTTCTTTAGATACGGGCCCAGCCTTCTTTGGAGTCGTGGCTCCGCCCCTGTTTCCCTTTGTTCGTCCATGTGGAGACGATACTCGTACTTACACTCTATACTATCTTGGGCCCCTTCGGGACGGGGTGTTAGGGGTGTTACAATATGGCTCTCTTGCAGCACTTCCCTCTTCACCTACAAGTATCATAAGTCGCCGCACATAGAGATTTTTCTATTTCTGATGTCCTTGGACACTATATCACAAGCCACAGTTTTTTTGGCTCCTAATATCGCTCATATTCATACCACCAAGTTAATCACCGTTGAAGATAAGATCATTTTCCCTATCGAACACAATTTGAATCCATTTTGGCATCTAAATGGTCAACTTGACAACTTGGATTCATGTTACAGTTCTGGCTCCTTTGTATATTTTTTACATTCATCGTCGTCAAACATGAATCCCACATATTATCATTGGCTTAAATGGAACCATATTATCTATTCTTAACATGAATCCCACATATTATCATTGGCTTAAATAAAATATTTTTATTTATGAAATTAACATCATATATTTACATTGATGAAAAAATAATACTCCGTATTAGACTATAATGCTACTAACTCCGTTCTTTTTTATTAGTCCTCTTAGGGTTTGACACGGGTTTTAATAATAAAGTAGTAGGGTAAGTATAGAGTGTGTGGATTAAATGATAAAGTAGGAAAAATGGTGTATTAAAAAGAGTAAAATGATGATAAAGTATGAAAGAGAGTATATTAAGAAGAATAAAGTGATGGTAAAGTAGGAATGAGAAAGTAATTTGTAAAAAGTAAGTGGGGTAAAAGTTTAAAAAATGGAGGTATTTTCTCAAAAACTTTCCTTAAAGGGAAAGGAGGACAAACAAAAAAAAACTTCCCAAAAAGGAAAGAAGAACTAATAAAAAAAGAACGGAGGAAGTAAAATAATTTTTATATAAAGTCGAGATAGTGAATAGTAAATTTATATCCCCAGTGCATGCAAATCAGAAACGTTGACGTGTCAACTCATAAAGTTCGCAGGCAAAATGGTAACAACGCCGCGATGAAGCACTACTATACTCCTCCTTTCTCCTCAATCCTGACTCGCGAGTCAACTCAGCGCAGAAACGCACGCACTCCTCTGTTTCAATTTTCACATTAAACCCCTCCAAACACTTCCTCCGCCCGCCATAACAAATTCCTCACCATCACCATGGTCAACCACACAGACCCCATTATTACGCCCTCGCACCATCGGAACATCTCTCGCCATGCACCGTCACACTCCGCCAGTTCGCCTCATCGCCCCTTCTCTTCGCCGAAGACGCCGCCTCCGGTTCCGAGCTCGCCGCAGACGACGAGATTACGCGTCGATTTCAGTCCACCGCTGATCGCAATGGTCGTCGTCATCGCCGCTGCTTTTGTTCTAATCACTTACTCGAGGCTAATTTCGCGCCACCTCATTCACTTCCACCGTCGCTACCGCCGGTGGCGCCGACGGAGAAGGTCATACGTGCCGTCGTCTTCGGCCGGCGATATTGAGTCTATTCCGTACTCCTTTGATCATACAGACAGATTTCACTTGTTCTCTCCGTATGGACTCGACGAGTCCGTGATCAAAACAATTCCTCTCTCCATTTACAGCCGGAAAAGCTCCGTTCACGACTGCGCTGTTTGTTTGATTGAATTCGAAGAAGACGACTACGTCCGCACGCTTCCTGTGTGCTCGCACGCGTTTCACGTGGACTGTATCGATATATGGCTCCGTTCTCACGCGAATTGTCCGTTGTGTCGTGCTGGAATTCTCAGGCCAGATTCGCCGTTCACTCCATTGATGGCAGCGAGAATACGGCCAAGCTTAGACGACTTAATGTTTGAAAGCGCGATGTTGGAACCGTTAGCGGAAATTCCGCTAGAATCAGACGTGGCTCCAGAATCAGAGATCACGCAGGAAGCATCGCCGAGACGGAACAACCAATCAGAGGACCGTTTCAACGGCCCCGATTTCCTTCTGAAACGGTCGTATTCGTTCGGATTCGAGAGGAGCATTGGATCGGAGAGGCTAATTTTGGAAGTGACCACCGCGTCTCCTTGGCGCTACCGCAGAGGAGGAAGCGGAAGCTTCTGGAACAAGCGTCCGTCACCGTTCAGCTCGCTGACGAAGCCTAGAGTGTTCTCATTCCGGCAATACAGAGGAATGAAGTCCCCTTTCTTCCGGCGGAGAAGTGTAAGCTTTCTCCCCGGCTCCACCGGCGGAGGAGGCAGCTCATCGAGACGGACCAAGTCATTCGCTAGCCCAATCTTCATCAGATCATCAGCGGCGGCAGGATTTTTCTCGTCGAGCCGGCTGAGAAGCGGCGATCCGGAGGCGCTGCTGTCACCGGAGAGATTCAACCGACGGGGATAGAACAGAGGGTGGCGGCACGTGGGACAAGGAGATTAAATGACTGAACCATCGGGGACCGTACAGTAATGGGGTGACCCGTGGAGATTCCGGATCGGGCTGGACAAATACGGGCGGTATTAATGAGTTTGGGGGGCATTCTGGCGCTCATTAAATGGAAGGCCGGAGAAAATTGTGTAAGAAAAGGGAAATGCAGTTATGGCATTTAATGGGAATTGACTACTGATGGCATTTGCCTTTCCCCTGTCTTCTTCTCAGATCTCATAAACTTGGGTAAGTTGGGAAGGCAATTAATAGTGGCATCATATTTTAATGTCTTCAACAACATTTTGAATTTCCAAACTATCTTAGACTCATGCAGATGGGGATAAGATTTCAAATCCAGTTTATCAATCAATGTAAATATGGAATAAGTTTAGTTCAACAATTTAACTTTTATGTAATTAGATTTTGAATTTCCAGACTTTGGAGCTATACATTTTATACACAACATTGTGTGAGGCGGTTGAAACAACTTCAAAACAGATGGAAACATTGTTTTGATCTTAAAATCCTTAGTACTGTAAATTTTAATGCGTCTCAACTCGGTTTTCTTTTAATAAACAAAATTGGGAATTAATAGTGTGCATTGCACATTGATACAAACTTTTATGCAATTAGATTAGATTACTTCCTCTCTTAAATTGGTCTTCTAGTATTTGACTTATAATCTGAATCAGTCATTAAAGTTACTAAAACTTTAACTACCAACGGATTAAGGATATGCTTAAAAATTTCCAATTTGATTTGTTCAAGTTTCATTTGTTTTATAAAACTGGCGCGTCACACATAGGAGTCTGATTTGGTTTGAAATCAGGGGGGTCTATGTACAGGCTACGGTAGGCTGAAGTACAGGGCAACTTAAAATTTTTTCAGTGTAAATTTTTTCATTTTTCACATTCAGTCAACCCCTCTAATATTTAAGCCTAGTATAATTCATATTCAGCTCAGGGTATCTCAGATTTCTGGATCCACCCTTGTTTGAAATCATCTGTTGTATGTTTGTTTTACTACGGTCTAAATCTAGTCTTGTATGATCTAGTCCGTTTAGATTTAATGCGATTTGGCTTGGTTTATATGCTCGTGTTTGAGATTGAAACATTCCCATTAGGAAGACTCTAAAACAGCCATCCAGCTCCATCTTGAAATAGATAGTTAGACACTAACTAATGCCCTAGTATATGAGGTTTGAACTAATTCTCTTTAAAAACTCTGAGGGTTGACTTTGGTCGTATTATTTTGGATACATTTTAGTTTGAGACTGAAAGAAATCATACGAAATTAGATGTACACAATCAAACAAAGTCAAACAAAATAATATCAGGCGATATTTAAACACGTTTACCTAGAATTAAACCTATAATGAAACCATATCAAACCTAAATATACCACATACGAAGTACTTCACAAATTATCCTTGTATAGTTGTATGAACGTCATTTGCGGAGTCGTCTATATATGTTCGAACTTGATTAGTCCGGCTTGTTTACTACGGACTACTTGGATTATGCATGCCAAGACGAAATACGCAATGGAAGCTGATCGTTCCTTTTGACCAGTGTTAAGTTGTTAACTATTTGAAGACGATATTTCAAAGCATTTACTCATATTAAAATTTCATTTGATATCTTTACTCTTCTGTTTTTGGGAAATGTAGAAATAATATCATGGTAATTTAGAGCCCGTTTGGTAGCACAAAAATCGGCTGTTTTGGCTGATTCTGCTGAAATTTATGAAGTTCTGGCTGAAGTGGCTGCATTGGCTGATTCTGCTGATTTAAGAAAAAAATATTTTAAAAATATATTTTATTAATAAAATAAAGAAAAATTATATGTAAAAATAGCTAAAGTAGTGATCTACAGTAACTTCAGCCAATACAGCCAGAAAAGTAACTCCGACCTTACTTTTTTTGCTTATTACACAATTCAGCGCGTGAAACACAAAAGTTACGTGTTTGGTGAAAAAGCTGGCTGATAAGCCTGATAAGCCAAAAAGCTGGGTTGCCAAACGGGCTCTTAAAATATTCAGGCCGTCTAATATACTAGTATAAATTTTTGAGTCCTTATCTAAATGTAATATGGAGTACATTATAAGCAAAAGATTATGTAATTTTTTTTCTCCGTGTTAAAAGTGAAATAATCCAAACAGTCTATTATCAAATATTATAATTCACTGTAAATTAAAAATAAAAAAACTTAGCTATTATATTATGTACGTATATACTACTTTTATACTACTAATTTTTTAAGAGAATGGGGCTCCATAATTAGTGGGACTCTGCTACATTTAAGCTATTACCTTCGTCCCACTCAATTTTGTCAAGTTATGTTGGGTGAAAAATTAAAATAGTAAAAAATGTGTGGTTGAGGTTTGTGGGGAAGATAGATCGGAAATGAACCTGTTGATATTATTTCCGTTGACTAAACCTATACTTTTGACCGCACCTACACATTTGGCCGGCTTTATTATTGTTCATTTATTATTGTTATTCTTTTTCCTTTTTGAATGTAAATTAGTTGTAGATTAACTTTATAGCTTACGTATAGGAGAATGATTCTCATTCGGTTAACCCAGTAGCGGCTAGACTTCTTGTAACTCAATTGTATATAAGCTGATTGATGATGATTAATGAGATACGGAAAAAGATTATTCTGATTCAATTACTCAATTTGGTATCAGAGCGGGTTAACGATCCAAGACCTACTCTTCACAAACGATCTTGACGACCGATTTGTCTATGGCAAATCCATTGATTTCGGCAGAATCCTTGCGTGCACTTGCTTTCACGGATGACCAGTGGAAAGCATTTGTCCAGCTTGTGAATCAATGTAAGGCACCCCCACATGATAAGCTCGCAGGTAAGAATTTAAATACTACTGCATGGTTACTGGATTCCGGAGCATCCTTACATATGACTGGCCAGGAATCTATATTGACGAATATCCATAAAATTCCACCGATGCCTATATTCTTACCAAATGGAGAGGTTACACATGCAACAAGCAAAGGGGATGTGCAGTTGAGCAGAGCAATTAAAATGACTAATGTGCTATTAGTCCCTGGATTAACGTGCAATCTCATATCTTTAGCACAGTTAATTGATGAACAGAAATGCGGTATATTTTTTGCTAATGATATATGTGTGATACAGGACCTACTTTCGAGGACGCCGATTGGAGCGGGTGAAAAACGGGGTGGTGTGTACTATTTTCATAGTTTGGATCCTGTTCGTGCTTGCTCAATAACAGAGGAACAAAGTGATTTGTGGCACTCCCGGTTAGGACACCCGTCAGTCAAAGTTTTACGTTCTGTCATTAATTTCAATAATACTTTGTCAGATGCTGCTCTAAATAAAAGTTGTGACGCATGTTTGCGTGGGAAAAAGACCCGTGATGCTTTTCATATTAGTGATTCAAGAGCACTTGAAATATTTGATTTGATTCATTGTGATGTGTGGGGTCCTTATCGCTTTCCAGCGTCGTGTGGTGCTAAATATTTCCTAACCGTGGTTGATGATTATTCACGAGCAGTATGGGTTTTTTTGATGAAAGAAAAAAGTGAAGTCTCACGGCTTCTTAAACAATTTATTGTAATGATAGAACGACAATTTGGCAAATGTGTGAAAATTGTTAGAAGTGACAATGGAACAGAATTTCAGTGTTTGAAATCCTATTTTATGGACGTTGGAATTCTTTTTCAAACAACCTGTGTATATACTCCTCAACAGAACGGAAGAGTTGAGCGAAAACACCGACACATTTTGAATATCGCTCGAACTCTTCGTTTTCATGCACACTTGCCAATAGATTTTTGGGGCGAGTGTGTGTTGGCTGCTTGTTATCTTATAAACCGATTGCCTTCTTCTGTTCTGGAGTTTAAGAGTCCTTATGAAATATTGCATAAAAAGGCACCCAAATATGATCATTTACGTGTCTTTGGTTGTTTGTGCTATGCACACACTCAAGGGAAAAATGGTGATAAATTTGCTCCACGGAGGTTAAAGTGTGTTTTTTTGGGGTATGCCTATTCACAAAAGGGATGGAAATTGTATGATATTGAGAACCGACGATATTTTGTTTCACGTGATGTCACCTTTGATGAAACAAAATTTCCCTATGCCGACCTTGCCAAGGAGGATACTTCACCGGTGGTTCCATATTCTCAAGCTACTATAAATAATGATGACCAGGCCCCAGTATCACATTTTGATAATCACATGGAAGAGGATTTGCATGCATCCAGTACTCCATCAGGGGCTACAACGTGTGAAGATGCTGCCAGCTCACGTATATTGTTGACAGAAGACCCACCTTGTGCCGGAGGAGCTGGGATTCACGTGGAACCTAGTAACACAACGTTGGATGACTCAGCTTCTGCGTCCAACCGTGAACGTGACACATCTGTTTCCATTGACCGACGCAGCACTCGCCCTAAGCAGCAGCCAGTGTGGCATAAAGACTATGTAGTGCAAATAAATACTATGAAAATAGCCACATCACCTGTCCGACGCTCGCCTCCAACGGTCGAATCAGGTAATCCGTATCCCTTGTCTCATTATGTAAATTATAACCGTTTTTCGGTACGCCACCGTGCTTTTATTGCAGCCATCTCGGGCACCAAAGAACCGAGTACTTTTCGAGAGGCGGTTAAGGATCCACATTGGCGAGAGGCCATGCAGCGTGAGATTGATGCCTTGGAGCGAACTGGGACGTGGCAGTTACAGGAGCTTCCTCCCGGTAAGAACCCTATTTTTTGTAAGTGGGTTTATAAAATAAAGTACAAAAGTGATGGCAGCATTGACCGTCACAAAGCCCGATTGGTCGTATGTGGTAACCGGCAAGTTCCAGGCATTGATTATGACGAGACATTTGCACCTGTTGCCAAAATGGTCACGGTGCGTACTCTTTTGGCTATAGCTGCCTCACGTGGGTGGGAGACTCATCAAATGGACGTGGACAATGCTTTTCTCCATGGTGATCTCCAGGAAGAAGTATATATGCATTTACCTCCTGGATACTCTTCGACACGACCTGGTCAGGTGTGCAAATTACTTCGTTCTCTTTATGGTCTTCGACAGGCGCCGCGTTGTTGGTTTTCCAAGTTAACCGCCGCCTTACTCACCTACGGCTTTTCTCAGTCACATGCTGATTATTCATTGTTTACTCTCCATCGTGGGGGGCACTTATTATGTATTCTTGTGTATGTTGATGATCTTCTCATTAGTGGTACTAGTTCTGAAATGATTTCTTCTTTCAAACATTATTTGGCTAGTACTTTTCCTGTCAAAGACCTGGGCCACATGAAATATTTTCTTGGCTTAGAGATTGCACGTAGTCCGCATGGCATTTTTTTATGCCAACGGAAATATGTTTTGGATATTCTTGATGAGACAGGTCTAACAGGAGCCAAGCCGGTCGATTTTCCTATGTCCCAAAATCACGGCCTCCAGTCTGACGACGGTCCGTTATATATGGATCCTGAACGTTATCGTCGCCTGGTTGGAAAACTTATCTATCTCACCCTCACCAGGCCGGATATTAGCTACTCAGTGCATATCCTTTCTCAGTTTATGCAACAGCC